ATTGGATATAAAATTGTATGAAAGATATACTATTATGAAAATGTTTTCATTAATTTGGGAACAATTATCAAGTGAAAAGTTTGTGCCATTAATAAGACATTGTTTTAATAAAGCATTTTTCGGTGTACCTCTTGAATATAAATCTGTTAAACAAATATGTTTTTCAAATATCTATTTTTGTGAAGAAATTAATTGTAAAAACATTTCTTTCATTTGTTGTGCAATATGTGATAAAGTATTATGTTTTGATGATTTTTTTATTAAACACCATTCACATTTGTAATTTAAATTTAATACATTAAATAATTTACTAAATAAAATTATATATAAATACTTGATATTTATTTTATTTAACAAATATTCAATTTAATATGAATTTAAGCTTTACACTAATGTATGAATTCGGGGGTTAAATGTCAAATATATTCGTTTATGTTATCAAAAAACAATTATTAGAAAAATTAATAATAAATATACCCGATACCCATTCGGCCAATTTTATTTACTCTAAATTATTATAAATACATGTAGATTATTTATATACTAGCTAAATTATCAATATCGATTTGTTAAAATGAGAGCATGCTACTTAGTATTTATAATAAATTGGTAATTAGAAAATAATAATTAAAACTTTTGAAATGAATATTTAGAATATTTATATAAAAAATTATATTTGATTTTGTGCAATATGCAAGCTTTGACAATGATTATTATATTACTGTAAAAAGATTTCTTGTTAAATGAAAAACCTGTATAAATAATATAATACTTACAATACATTGAATTATATTATATGATTATAGTTATATTTGTTTTTTATTAAATATTTATTAAGCAATCATACAAAAGTATTGTTATATCGAAATGTAATGACAATTGTATGGCGCCATAAAACCAAATGTTAATGAATTTAATTAATAAATAATTTATTTGTATTAATAGTTACATTATGAGCCTAATGAAATACAAGATTTGGGCAAATACCTGGATGAACTGGTTGACTATTATACGGATAATGACTGCAGCGAATTCCCATACCTGTCGCGAGGAGGTCTCTGTCAGCCCACCAACACGACTGTCCGCCCCGCCAGGCCATACCCCGTAAATGTTACCGTACATTACGAATACAAGTGCCCGGAGTGCGAGCGGGAGATCAGTACTGGTGTGGCGCCGGTGTATAACGAATTGAAATCCATAGTGAATGTCGATTTGTTTCCCTATAGTTTGCAAAGTTGACATTCATGGACCAGGGTTAATAAAAGTGAAACCATTTTCGACCTGGAGTTTACTGACATTAATGCCGAATTAGGAACTTTGGTCCAGGTACATATTACACAATTGTGACAATATTTATTGACCATATAATTACTGTCCATAATTTGCGTAAATAATTATAACTAAATCTGCTTGAACACTGTAGTTGTGTGTATTGGAAAGTGAGTCAACCGACAAGTCGGTGCAATTTGTGGGATGTATGCTCGGGTCAGCTGATGTCCAGGACCCGATTAAAGCTACCAAAGCGGTATAAAATTCATTATTAAATTATAACTACGGTAGTATACATTTATAATTAGCTCACATTTTAATAATTGATTGTATTTTATGTGAAATAGTGTTCACAAGAACTCGGTTTAAATCTGACGTCTATTGTTGAGTGTGTTTACGGACCTTTAGGCAGAGGCTTATTATACAGAGCGTACGAAAAGGACATTGCTACTAATCCGAGTGTTTTATATGTACCCTGGGTGTTTATTAATGGCATCCACAGTCCATATATCGCTCGTAGAGGTGCTGCTGATGTCAAGAAACTTATTTGCGATGCCTATACTGTAAGTATATTTTAATTAACTATACTATAATTTATAAATTATTAATTCATTACATATATTATAAATAGGGCCCAAAACCAGCATATTGTCTATTACCAATGGGAACAATGGATAACCGAGAATCTAAATGGATAAACTAATTATTTGATATATAAATCAATATTTTCAATATTATATTAATTTATGAATAGTGACAAATAAAATTGAAATATTTTAGCATTTAAAACTCATAAAATTATTATATTTTATTTAAGATTTATTTTAAAATTATATTTAATATATTCAATTATTAGTAAATTTCTATAAAAATATGAAATATTAAGAATTAAAGAATATATTTTAATAAACTTTATGTAAAACATTACAAAATATAGATTAAAGATTATAAGTTCATGTGTGCACATCGTTTTATATAAAATATGAATCTGCCTGCTACTTAAAAAGCACATAAAATAATATTGATAAATTATCAATCATAATAAATGTCAATATGATCAATCTTATTATGAACGTTAACTGGCAGAAATAAACACACGTCAGTTTATTAATGTACTGAAAGCTACAATGATGACTTGCTCAATTGTAAGTGGATATTCAATTGTAGTGTTTGTGTGCAAAATTCGTTACGTTTTTCCTAATCGCAATCAGTTAATGCATTTGTGTAGATAATAATATTAAGAAAAGTAATAATAAGTAGAATTTATAATCTATACGAATTGTCACAGATTAAATTATGACATAACATTACTTAATCATAACACCTATATAAGGACAGACAAAACACTGAATTGCATTATCATAGAATAAAAATAAATAAATCAATACTTACAACAAGTATTCATAACAACAAAATAGTTTTAACTAATTATTTAAAATAACTATAATTAACAATAATTATGAGCACCACATCACTAGCATCTAACAGCGCGTTTATGGCCCGGTATATGGCACTGGAACAGCCCCGGGATAAAATCATGGTCACCTACGTCTATATACACCCTGGCAACGACAACCTGGCTCATTTCAGTGGCAAAACTAAAGTCATAGACTTTGTGCCCAAACAAGCATCGGAAGTGCCGTTTTTTGACTTCGCATTGGTTACGGGGGACAGTCTGGTCGAGGTGTTTATACGACCCGTACAGCTATACGCCGACCCCTTCCGGGGCGGTGACAATAAGCTAGTCTTATGAGACTTATTGTCGGCCGACATGACACCACTGGCCTGTAATCACCGGTACAGCTGTAATGAGGTCATGGATGCGGCCCGGGATCAACATCCATGGTTTGGTGTGGAGCAGGAGTTCTATCTCATGAACGCCGATACTAACTGGCCGTTGGGTTGGCCTACAAATGGTTATCCGGAGCCCCTGACGGCTCCCCATGCTTTCTACTACGGGGCCGTCGGTGCGGGTAAACAGTTTGGGAGGGATGTGATGGAGGCTCACCTCAGGGCCTGTCTGTACGCAGGGGTTAATATATGGGGCGAGACATCGGAGGGACAGCCGTCTCAGTGGGAATATCAAGTAATTAGTATTAAATGCATGATTTAATGCTTGTATAATAATTGAGATCCATTTCCCAATGAATAGGTGGGTCCCTGTGAAGGCATACGTCTGGGGGATGACCTAACGATGTCTC